GGTCAGATCTTCATGTACATGTAGTGTAGGCCATCGAAAGTATAAAAAACGAAACGAAATATAGACCTGTATTTGTTATATATACGTGTTATAGTTTATTAATGTATCCAGGTACTAAATGCCACTAAAAGAAGAATATGACCTGAAACTATAGGGTCTCCTAAAGTAATACAGACTGACTTGCGTAAACACATTTAGAAACGGTTGAATTTTACCATGTGCAATGGCAAAAATTGAATATGACATTCTCTCGTCCGTAGTTCTACTTTATATGTTCTACTTTGAGACTCGGATAATCGAGCTACAGATAGCTCTTTAGTAACACAGTGGATAATCGAATTGTGGGTCTTCGTATTTCTTCATTTTATAACCATATACATCTCCCGATTGTGGTTCGAACATATGCCATTTGGAGACCATTAAGGGGATAAAATGTCACCCATGAAAGAAAAAAACCCCAACACATTTTAATGTAAAATAACTGCGTATACCTGATACAATCATGTAAAGCTAGAAGTAGGGTTGTGTTCTTTAACAACATACGGGCATGTTGTTAATGTAGATGGGCTGTTTACTGTCATGGTGAAATACTAAAAGCAGTGGGTGTTTATTAGTCTTAGATGATTATATATGAAGGTAAGTATTTGTTTTAGATCAATACAATATAGGTAGATAAAGCATCTACCAGGTGTGTTTATAAATAATCCACGTCACTTCCAATAACTGACAAGTAAAAACATTCAGGAATGCCGATTTATATCAAGTACAGTTTCTACTGTTTATTTAAATAGCCTATTCATATGACACTGCTGGTATATGAAAGTCGATGCAGCAAATCTGTAGAATATAACACAGCCATAAACATATACCATTTACGTTAAGTGCCAACCCTCATGGACTCAAATATGAACCCAACGTCTATTATGTCTTAAACTTGACAATCGATTCTGAAGACTTTACCACAACCTGTCAATCATTCGACAATCGCCTACCGTATACACTAATGATTTTAATTGAGTTGATGGTATAACAAGTGATTATTCATTCTATCAACGGAGTGGTCGATTTAGTACATAAAAGTTTCCTAAGTTCTGTGGAAAACGGGAGAGAGAGAGAGAGAGAGAGAGAAAAATGAGGTTTAAATTAATGGTTTAATTTTATTTCAATGATTCGCTTGCGTGTAGGGGTCTTTAGCAGTGCGAGGAAACCAGAGGACCCGGAGAAAACCCACGAGGTTGGACAGGCGACCCTACTCCTTGTCACGTACAACCGGGGATTCGAAACCACGCCAGTTGACTTAATGACAGGTCTTATGATACAGCACGCACGTGCTAACCATTCGGCCATCCAACCCCCCGGGAAAACGGGAGAGCCGAAACCACATGTTTGAGATTGATAGACCGACAATAAGAGTTCGATCTTGATCCGTGCAGACAATGTATAGATATGTAAATTTGAGAGATTTCCAGAGGGCCAGGTTCCGTTCTGATATTGAAATCATGCGAAAATGAAAAATACAACATTTAGTAAAAACATGACGAATGAGCATCAGTCTAGTCACCCGGACATCATGGGAAATGATTAAACCTCTTTCGCCTATTTTAAAATAAAATTGAATATTTATGTGTTTATTTGTTTTGTGGCATGAAAATCTGCTTTCATTCAAAATCTAACGAGTATGGATTGCCAAAAATGAAACTAAACTAAACATCTCGGCTTCCGCTTAATCGTTCTAAGAAAAAATGTAATTTTCTGTGGCTTGACTCTTCACCAATACTTAAATAACGGCTTAGCTAGAAAACACTCTGGTTAAAACGGTTTTTCAGAGATGTGCAGAGAACAAGCTCAGGGGCCATACTCCAGGAAGTTCCGATCCGGTATGCGTGAATATCTACTGGAACCTTGATCTTCAGGATATAAGCAAATTTTAAGCTTCATCAAAAGCAGATAAAAATTCTGACCTCTAGAGGGTCCACAACCTTTGTATTTATTTAAACGTTTTTTTTTTAAATCGGATAAAATTGTGACCTCTTGACGGTCCACAAGCTAAAAACGCGATTTTTCGTACAATCAGGGGCCTTAATCCAGGAAGTTACGGTCTGATAGGCGCAAATAGAAGGTCCACAAGCTAAAAACGTGATTTTTTGTACAATCATTGACCATAATCCACGAAGTTATGGTCCGATACATAACAATATCAACAGGAACCGAGATCTTTGGGAAATATAACTATATTTTAAGTTTCGTCAAAATCGGATAAAAATTGTGACCTGTAGAGTGTCCACAAACACATTGTGGACGGACGGGCGTCCGGATGGATAGGGGCGACGACATAATACATTCACACGATAATGTGGATGTATATAAAAATGAAATTTAATGTTCCGTTTATTTTTAGTTTAAGAAAATTGAAGGAAGTAGTGACGCAGGCAGTACATTACAATAATACGCAACTTATAACTTCTTATGGTTTCTCAATATTGATATTAATGGTTAGAATATGTTTTATTTATATGCGATGTCTTGATAACCAGTTTACTTGGCTTTAAGACCATTTAAAAGAAATTCTACATTACCCTGAATATCAATAAATATTGTCACTTCCAATATCCAATTTGTTTATTCTTACGGATGGCTGATTATAACTCGTCAATTTTTGCACGAAACAGGATTGTTATTTCTATAAATGTGTGATTCCTAGATCCTTCATTACGACACGACCTTTAGTTACCAGTAGAAACAGCGCTATGTTGCACATTTCCAGATTAACGTGGCATTAACGCGTATTTGTTTTTGAAATATAAATAGGTGATTTTAATGCGGCAATATTATCCAAGTACTCTAAATAATGGTAAAATACTACCGATGTTAGCACTAAACTTGATTTAATTGTTTTCTACATATAAACCCACCCTACAAAATAGAACACACAAACACACTCTTTACTATTTTTTCTTGCAACCTATTGTTCACGTTTAGACTCGTGACAATAAAATAGTTAGCAAAGGCTGTGTAGAGTATGGTCCTATTCTTCGCACAAAATTTAATTGTTTGGAGAACCGAGTCAAACATTTATCTCGTTTGGTTTTGAAAATTAATCTATTTAACGAGCACAAAGGAATCATTTCAATCACCAATCTACAAATATCAGTCAGTCGATATTGACATTCCATTTAGCACCCAGAAAATCTGCTGCCCTTTGTCACATAGCTAATAATTTTTGGTATGTTCAACAAAAGACCGACAGTAAACTTCTGCAACAGCTCAATGGACATTTACACCAAAAAGTTTGATTTTATATTTGCACATTAATATTTCAAAATAAAAATCAAAAACCAACCCTTATTATTGCATTTTTGTAAGGCCAATACTATTTAAGTCTTTTGTCTGGAAAGATATCGACATTGACAGAACGTGTTGGTTATAGGCAGGTACGATTGGCACATTATCAATTGACAAGCCCGATAAGACATTTCATTACTAAAGCATTATTGAGCATGTAACAAAAAGTTCTTTGGGTTCCCTGGGAACAACACATAGTGCATTGTTTTTTAATTTGCTTGCGCGTAGGAGCCTTTAGCAGTGGGAGGAAACCGGATGACCTGGTGGAAACCCACCTACGTTGGACCAAAGAGAGACCACAGCTAACGGAACCCCCAGATTTCCTTGGGGGCGGGGTTACTAACGAAGATGTGGCATACTGCAGAAAAGGAATGGGTTTACAAATACTAAATTTTATGGGGTCACCTACTACACACCCACTCCCTCGTTCGCCCAAAATATGTATAAAGATTTTAAAATCTAAAGCAATAACTCTTGTTATACAATACCAAGCCAGACACGCGAGCAAAACAGACCCCCCCCCCCCCAAAAAAAAAAAAAAAAACCAAAACAAAAAAACCAAAAAAAAAACCAAACAAACAAAAAAACCAAAAAAAAACCACAACAAAAACAACAAAACAAAACAAAGCCGAGTTTCATTGTCAAAGTTTTAGTCTACCCACATACTGAAGCCGTTTTTCTACGTAAGACAGAAGAGTGGTTGTGTAGTTGGTGCCTTGGCCAAAGTCCCCTCTCTAGGCCAAGTCTCCTCTCTATACTACACTTGTTAAAAACTAAACCATCACTTCTTTACACCAAAGTTATAACGGTTGGTTAAACCGTACATGTGTTATTTGTTGGCAGTTATGTTCTGGATTAAACTCCAACAGCGCCCTAACCTCTGCGGCCTTTTATAACCGATTTAAACTTGACGCACTGCCGGAAAGAACAATCAATATGAAATAATTGAGATATAAAACAAGCTTGATAAATGAATGATTTTTGAAAAGCCTTAATTTTCTATAAGCCAACCGCGTATTGTGCAGTCACTACATATAACGTATTACGTATTTATGATATTACTTCAGACCATGATAAGTAAAAACTTTGTTTTCAGTACTGGCAAAATTAAATCTTCCTGGCTCAATGGGTTATCAGATAATGTGGCCAGTTCTTTGATGGAAAACGAAAAACGCTTTATTTTTAGACTTTAAAAAACAACCAACCAACCAAAATTAATACAGACATACAATATGAATGTGTTAGATATAATTCAAACTCTTAAACTGAGAGATGTTATAGGAGCTTTAGAATTAGTAATTGGAGCGAAAGTTTGGAGTTCATTTTCTGAGATGTTTTTAGAAATGTTCAATTTAAGTGATATTGATGCACCTAACGATCGAATACCTTTAAAGATAACTTTATGGAATATCAAAATGGCTGGCGATTGCAAATATAAATATATATATAGAAGTACTTAAATTATGTTGAAAGTTTGCAACCTCTCTGCTCTTAACAATTAAAACATTATTTAACATTTAATTAAGAAAAACGAAATCAAAATGACAACGGTTCGGATTTTCGACTGTCACAATATTGTAGACGTGAAATATCTCAATTGACAACTAGATACTTTTATTAAAGGTTATTGAACAGAAGTATGAATAAAATGTTATTACCTTAATTGGTGGCTCTCATACTGTGTTCTATTAAGTACAAAAGCTTTCTCTTCTATACTTCCAGCTAGTAATTAATTTATACAAAATAATTATTGTCCATGAAAATATAGGTCTCGATGAAATTCTCTTTTGGTATATCTTCTTATAAAGGATGTGTTTAAAATATTATTGAAATATGATCACTGTTTATAAGGCCTGGGGAATAGTCTAACTGTTTAGCCAACTTGGAACCAAGGAAAATCAAAGTTGTACTGTCATTACCGTTACAGGTAATAAAACACAAAACTTGCTGCACTCACGATTTGCCAGTTATATTATACTCTGGAATTTAGAATAACTATATAAACATATATAATCAGTCTCAACGAATACAGTAATAGTTTGATTATCTTTACCAATGAAGTGATGACGGAGTGGCAATAGTCAGCATATTCCACCTTAGCGTTAATAATTATATGACGCCGATAATGCCGCTACTTTATCGCTATTGGCCACAAGTGTTATAGACACGAGATCGCGGAGGCGAATATACGCGACAAGCAAGTCATAACTCAATAGATTGATCGGAAATTCAAATAACTTTATTGCAATATGACAAAAGTCTACAGAAGTTGTTTTTATCCGTCGAGCAACCTAATTATAGCTATACAATCCAGATCGATCGAACTGATCAATTATTCACATGTTCCAGGTCAAATTACATGTTCCCCATGTCAAACTGAATGCTTGAAAAGACGTTCACTTAATTTATTGAAACTAAAATTTGAATGTATAGGATTTGCCCCTTCAGTAATCGAAATGACCAAGTTCAATATTCAATCACTCGAGTATCCAATTTTAGAATCTTCTACCAGATAATACAATCCACCCTTTCATTGAGGCAAGCGATTAGTACGATCCGACATATTCCAATATTATAATAATCCAAAATTCAGAATACCAACACGCTACATCATAAGCGCGTCATGTGGTGGGAGTGGGAGTCACGGATTTTTCCATCTCCTCAAATATCATCAAAATATTCAATTTGGTGTAAATATATGAACGCGATAATTAGTAGTTGGTATACGTGTAGCTGTAAATATAGCCACTATTGATTCTGAGCATGTTCGCAAAATAGTAATTGTTTATAGCAATTCTTTCGTTTTCACTCTATCGTATTCGCGTGGCATTTGTTTTATTGTTTATGTGCTCTAAAGCATTGGTATGAATTTGAAGGAAAGATCAAGGCATAAACAGACATGAATTAGTCAAATTATCTACAAAAGTGACGTCACGGCCTATTTATTCCTAAAGCCGTATATAGATACAGGACTTTGTTTATTCCTTTGACCTGACCTAGACAAAATCGAAACGCACCCCACCCCCTTCGATATTATTATTTTTTATGATTGTGCTCTGTTTGCTTTTAAATACCAAGTCAAATAAGATATTTTCTGCATCAATTTTCTGTCTTTAAGATCATTTTTTGATGGGTGTAATTTGATTTCTGCAGTTTCTACAAGACTTGGTATTTTAATACGCCCAGATTTTCATGTGGACGTATATTGTCGTCGCGCCTGTCCGCCGTCGACATTTTGTTTGTGGACTCTCTAGGGGTCGCAATTTTTATCCGATTTCAACGAAACTTGAAATGGAGGTGTATCTCCCAAAGATCTCGCTTCCTTTCGAAATTGGCGTGTATCGGACCGTACCATTATGGATTATGGACACTCTGTAATTTAGCTTGAGGACACACTACAGGTCACAATTTTTACCCAGTTTTGATGAAACTGGAAAGGCATGTTTATATCCCAAAGATCTCGGTCCCTTTCGATATTCGTGCATATCGGACCGTAACTTCCTGGATTATGGCCCCTGACTACAAAAAAATTTGCGAATTTTAGCTTGTGAACCCTCTAGAGATCACAATTTTTATACGATATAAAAAACCGTTTAAGTATATCACCGTTACACCATAATGAGGTTGAGTTCGAATTTCGTCAAAATCGGACCGAAACGGACGGACAAAATGGTCGCCCCTCAAACGCATGTAAAAATATGTCATATCAAGGTTGTGGACCCACAATTTTGATCCGATTTTGATGAAACTTATGATTATATCACAAAGATCCGGTTCCTTTCGATAATCATGCATATCGGAACGTAACTTCCTGGGTTATGGCCCCTGATTGTTCGAAAAATCGTATTTTTAGCTTGTGAAGACGCTAGAAGTCACAAGTTTTATGCGATTTAACAAAACGTTTGAATATAGCACCGTTACACCACCCTGATGATGGTTGAGTTCGAATTTCTTGAAAAATCGGTCCAAAACGGCCGGACAAAATGGCCGCCCCTCGTACACAAATAGTGTAAATATATGGTATAAAAAAACGTTCCAATATATCACCGTAACACCATAATGATGACGGAGTTCGTATTACATGAAAATCGGACCGAAACTGCCAGATAAAATGGCCACTCTATGTACGCAAATAGTGTTAATGTATGTAATATCAAGGTTGTAGACCCTCTAGAGGTCATAATTTTTATCCTATTTTGATGAAACTTAAAACATGTGTTTTATATTCCAGTGGTTTTGATTCCTTTCGATATTCACGCATATCGGACAGTCAGTTCCCAGATTATGACCCCTGATTGTAGGAAAATAAATGCAAATTTTAGCTTGTGAACCCTCTATAGCTTACAATCTTTATCTGATTTTTAAAAGGGTTTAAATACACCCTGATGATGATTGAGTTGGAATTTTGTAAAAAAATCAGACCGAAACTGCCTGAAAAAATGATTTTTATTTATTTATTTATTTATTCTTCAAGTAAAGGTTACTACATGACAATAAATTAATGTATTATAATAAGAACTAGTGTCGCATTGCACGACTGGGAAAGCGACAACAATAAATACAGATATGTATATGAAAATAAGAACTATGTGCTACATTGTAAAGTGGGATGCCAAATGAGACAAGCATAGAGAAATATGGTAAATATAGAGGTATGGTGTCATGAAGAGACCTTTACTTAGGATAGCCCATAAAGCCTGACGTATATAACATCCGTTGCTTATTTCCAATGGTGTCCCCAGTTGTCAAGGTCGCGTCGGGTCATCATTGGGAGGCAAAATTTAATAAACATGCCATTGTATCACAAATAATAAAATATATTTATGTCTACATGTTATACATCAACCAATTTTATTAATAGTAGATTATCAAGCTTGTAGAATCACAGATTAACATTGTATTAACAATAAATACTTCTTGGCTGCAGCTTTAAAGCTGTAAAGTGAATCTAAAGACTTAATATCATTCGGTAAATCGTTCCAGACACTTATGGCGGTATAATAAAATGATGTGAGCTGATCTCTACCCGAGCATTTTGGAACCACAAAGTTGAATAAACTAGATCTTGTGCCATATTGATGAGTATCTCTAACACATTTGAATTTTGATTTAAGGTATAATGGACAATTATTACGTGATTGAGTTTTAACTGTTTAACTCGGTTTTCAACATTAAGTATATTCAAATCAGAATATGAAACATGATCTCTACGTCCTAGCCCATTCACAAATCTGTACGCAAATAGTGTAAAAGTATGTAATACCAATGTTGTGGACCCTCTAGAGGTCAAAATATTTTTATCTGATTTTGATGAAACTTAAAATATATGTTTATATACCTGATTTCGATTCCTTTTGATATCTGCCCATAGCCGAGCATAACCTCCTGGATTATTTCCCCTGATTGTACAAAAAAATACCTTTTTAAACTTCTTTTCTGTCTATTTTTTGCAAAATGTGGGCGTATCGTGCATGACAACCGCTTGCCGACTGGAGGTTATATAAATGTAATTGTTCTGCCTGTACAGATTTTCATCAAATGCAAGCAATGGTGAATGAATGTGAAAATAAAAGGCATTGGATATTTTCAGGAAACTCCTGTATTTTTTTTAACACATACTGGTATATAATCCCCCACTTCTGTTTATATAACTGTTGTATTATCTGTTTTCAAAATTATGGACCTCCATTTGGACCGTAGACAGTTACAAGCTGCATTATCCCTGCAACCGGCACTTGGTTGGTTTAATTTACGCTTTGCTTTTAACTTTTGACAACTTTTTAAGACTACGAATGTCCATTTAGGCGACTTCCTGCAGGTTTCTATGAAAGGATCTATTTCAGTGTGATATTGGAATTTTTTGTGGCCTTTTACTCAGACGGAAAAGAAATATGCTTGTCATTCTATTTTCATAAAATTTGTCTGTTTTGACAGATAAGTATTGATCAACATATTTTTGCGGTTATTAAATTGATGGATGCTACATATCCATATATCAGGAAACACTACCCAGTTAATACATGTACAGAGACGTATAATTAGACACAGAATATCTTATATTTCTGTAATGTACATTTTGAATGATCATTGTGTCTGTTTTGTTGAATATTATTATACAGGAATTGTAAACATAGCATTGTTGAAAAAATTTGGTCGCCAGTCAACTTTCGATAGTCATGGATATGAAAGTCTAGAGCACCGCAAGGTTTTTTGGGTAGTTTTACTGAACTTACTACAGCTCCACGGGAATACCTAGCTTTTCATTAATCTATACTGTTTATTGAAAGGCGGATTTTTAAACGCCCACATTTTCTTGGTTCCTTTCGATATTTGCGCGCATATCGAATCTTAACTTCCTGAATTATGGCCCTTGGTTGTTTTTAGCTTGTGGTCACTGTAGCGGTAACAATTTTTATCGGATTTAAAAACCCGTTTGAATATATCACCGTTACACCCAAATGATGGCTGAATTTCGTGAACATCGGACCAAAACGGCCGGACAAAATGGCCATCCCTCGTACGCATAATTATAGTGTATGGTATATCAAGGTTGTGGACCTCTAGAAGTCACAATGTTGGTCTGATTTTGATGAAACTCGAAATATATCTTTATAACTCAAAGATCTCGGTTCCTGTCGATATTCGCGCATATCGGATCTTAACTCCCCGAATTATGGCCCTTGCCTGTACAAAAAATCGCGTTTTTAGCTTGTGGTCCCTGTTCACGATCCATTTCTTGCAAAATGTGGTCGTATCCTGCCTGGCAGCTGCTGGTTGAGTATTCTTGTATATTTGTTTAATTTGAGGTCGATATTTTAGTATTATTGTAATATTTGTTTGTTGGGGTTTTTTTTTTTTGGGGGGGGGGTAAGTTTTGAAAAATAGCTTATAATATTTGGTTGTTTTGAGGATTTGGAGTATATCTATAATATTTGGTTAATTTGAGCTAGGATGTGGAATATTGTTACAAAATATATGTGGCTATTTTCTGAAGTATTCTTGTAATATTTAGTGTTTTAAAGTGCCGAGTTGCTCGAAAAAAATGAGTTTACTTGTAAAGATTGTAGAAAATGGAAGTGAAACCAAACAGATATTATTAGCCTTTCAGGTACAATGATATAAGAAGAGTTTTTGGACCTGGTGTAGAATTAAATGGAAACGGTCAACCCCTTTAATATATTCATCAG